CTTACAATAGTCAAGACGGGAGGTGACTAAGATATGAGTGACTGTGAGTAGGAATTGTTGGTCCAGGAAAGGGCACAACTGGCATACAATCCACAGTTGTACAAAGGCCCTCCAGCTGCCATCTGCTCTTCAAGCAGGAACTGTGAGTCCAGGCGTACCCCCAGATTACGCACCGGGTCTGTTTGGGGCAGTGCCACCACATCCAAGACCAAAGATGGCAATTCTCCATGGGCCAAAGAACCCCAAACCCAGAGCACTTGGTCTTGCCAGGGTTCAGTTTCAACCCAGCCCCCTTTATTGTATTTGATTGTATTTGATAAATACAATAAAAGATCAAATACATTATCTCTGTCTCTCCCTCCTCCCTCCCCCATATACACAAACTCACTCAAAGTTAAGTACAAGGACCCCAAACCTATACATATGATTTTCACATAAATTTTACTATCTATAAAAAGGGCTGTTTTTTGTATGAAACTGAATGAGAGTAAAAAAAAAAAAATTGCTTACTACATCATTTAGTGCTGCTTTCCCTCCATCCCTTTAGGGGATCCTTACAACTCTGTAATATATAAAGAACCCAGTGCTGTCAGTCTTGCAGATTAGAAATTGAGAAAGAAAGGAAAGGAGAGAAAGAGAAGCTTGTCATAGTTATCTAATGGACAAATGGAAGAGAAGAATTTAAATTCAGGAGGTTCCGATTCATTACTGAATTTGGTAGCCAATAGCTGAGACTTTCTAGTCATGTCTTTTATATCTCTCCCTACCATACCCACCCCCTTTGCTGACTGACACCACTCTGAGGGCAGTTTCAGTCTGGCTGTTCTATCTCCTAACCCTAAAAGTTCTAGTTTCTTCTCAGGCCTTTGAGATTTCTTTTTCAAATCTGCAAGTCTACTGCTCAGTTCTGCAAAAGGATGAGAAGGCCTGCATACCCCACATGTTCCTCTGTGGGAATGAAAGTCAAAAGTTCTTTCCCATAATTGGTTTGATTTTCCCTTTAATTGCCTTTGTGATCTATTCACTTGAAAATTCAGCCTGCTTTGTCAATCACCCCACCTCTGATGTCATGAAGTAGTTTGATAAAAACACATTCTGGCCAAAGGGGTGTGAGAAAAGAGCTGAAATGACCTTGGCTGCAAGCTTTGTAAGATTCCAGGCCATTCAGCTCCAAGTATTGTTGTGTTTCGTTCAAGCTACAAGTGGATTTTTAGACAGTGGAGGCACGCAGGTAATACAATCAAGGAAAAGATTATGGGCTTGGCAAGTCCATTGAAGGAAAAAAAATGATGAAACTAAATATTCTTAGCAAGGCTCCCATGTTTGCAGAAACAGAAGTCTTGGGAAGCATCTCAATTTGGATTCCTGCCTCAAATACCTGAAATGTTCTCTCTTTTACTTCTCAGATGTTTTTCTTCATATTGAATTTGGTGAACTTGGTGAACTGGAGAGTCAGTTTTAGGCTTTCCTTAGGCATGGAAGTAACTGAGTGACTTTGAGCTACTCACTCTCTCTCAGCCCAGCCCACTTCACACTGTTGTTGTTGTAGAGAAAATAGCAAGCAGGAGCACTAAGTATGTTTGCCACCTTCAGTTATTTATTAAAAAGACAGGATAAAATAACAACAAGAAGCAGCAGCTATCCAGGATAATAATAACAATAATAGCAACAATAGCCACAATAGCAACAATAACAACAACAATAACAATCACTAATAATAATAATAATAATAATAATAATAATAATAATAATTAGTAGTAGTAGTAGTAGTAGTAGTAGCAGCATGAAAACTATTGTGCACCGGATGCAGAACCGCAATAGCAGATTCCAAATCAAAGGGAAAAGCTGCTAATATACCTCTTGTGATTGTAATGAACTCTGCCTATTGATTACTGCAGAATCTGGCAAATTAAAGCCCAGGGCTTTGTAGGCTTCCAACTTGGCAGCCCCCCTGTATATGTGTACAAGAGTTCAATTTGGTTAAGCTGCAGTGACATCAGCAATTTGTCCATTCAAGAGGGGAAAAGCATGTGTCCCTCCTTAGTTTGCCGACTCCAGCACATGCTCACTGATTGCGGTTATCAGAGGGCTAGTTTAGCATAATGAGACTAAAGTAAAGCTTTGATTATACAGGAACATTTCTTACATGTTCCATGTATTAGTATATAACCAAATAAAATAAACAAAGCAGGCCAAAATAACCAATTGGCAATTCATCTTCTCATCGCCATTCCCAAAATAACTCTGAAAAATACCAGCAAGTATTGCCAGTGACATGCCAAGCAAAATTATATCTGTAGTCATCTCATCTGGAAAAGCAAATTAAATCTGCACATCCTTTCCTTTCCAATGTGGCAGCTATTTATAGCTACCCTAATGCAAGGAAAATGGGCCTCTAAGTCAATGGGATTGTTTTATTAAAAAACGTAAAATTATACACATGACTGATGTCAGAATGAGCCAACTGTCCCAGAATGGATTTCTGTCAGTCTAGGTTTTGATCTTTTTTTCTTAATTATTTTCCACCCATCTTGATCTGTCTGTTTTTTTTTTCAATATATCTCTTTTCTATGTGAAAGGATTTTGAAAACTATACTCCAAAACTGAATAATGAAGAGTAGAAAAAGGAAATCTATATTGTGACTTATATGTACAATAATGAAAACCTGAAAACAATTTCTCTGAAATTTCCAGAGAGAAAAAAGATTGCTCTACATTCTTAATTTACAGTGTTTTACTCAACCACTAGATGGCTCTGTCAGCTGCCTGGAGACTTCTGGGGGAAACCAAAATGAATCAATTGGACTCTTTGGGAAGAAGAATGGAAGCCCATTGACTTGTTTAAAAAAACGCATCTGACCATTTGTAGGTCAGACTTGAAATGTTGGATTAACTTCAAGGCAATTTATGGAAGCAAAAGTACTTCAGAAGTTTGTGAAGATTTACCCAATGTCACAATCCCTGATATTATGATTTGTTTTTCTTAAAGCATTTAAATGTTTCTTATACATGTGTAAATTACACAGCCATTGGTTGTGATTTTTGCTTTTGTTTTAAAGATAACCCTATGGTGACATTTGCCTGATTCGGGGTTTGATACCAATCTTCCAAACATTCAAACTATTCATTAGGACCAGGTTGTTCTCACGAACATTTCAATTGAGTTCATGACATAATTAAAAGTTTGCTTTGTTCTATTTTATAAATTATTTTATTTTATTTGTTCCTGTTACCACAGCAAATGTTAACAAGCTACTTGTCACAGCTATACATATCCATGTAAAGAATTGACATCACTTTCTTGTTTCCAATGCATGATAGGCCATGCTAAAATCACAGCAAATTGAATCAAATCAATCAAGTTTCTCAGAAAGCTTGTCTGAAAACTAGACAATCCCAACTTTCACTTTGAACAACAGTGAAAGCCTTGCCAGACTTGAAAGTGTGTTTGACTGTTACTATCACAGAGAAGAAGGGATTAACTTATTCTCCAAATCACCAGAGGGCAGGACAAGAAGTAACGGGTAAAAGCTTGTTAAGGAAGATTGAACCTAGAAGTAGAAAGATTTGTTTTCCAATTCAAAATTTTTATTAGTTTATCCAAACACAATCTAAAATACAAAAGTACAAAAGAAAATAATGGAAAACTTTATAATGAAAAAGGGGGAATAGAAAAGCGTAGGGCAAAGAAAAAGTATTGACTTCTGACTCCTTTTGATGCAGTAGAATAAGATAAAAGCATTAAACCTCAACTTTTTACTTTTATATAATAATATAAACTAGCCATTTCTATAACAACAAACCTACCTAATCGGCAAAACCCAAAATCAAGAAGGAAGAAGAAATTTTCTGACAATGAAAACAATTCAACAGTGGAATAGCTTGCCTCCCAGAGTTGTGGACTAAAAGGACCATCCAATTCTGTAGTAGCTTCGTTCTGTATGCCAGGGCTTTTCAACCAGTGGTACGGGTACCATCTATGGTACATTGGCACCTTGCAGGTGGTACATGACCATCCTAGAAAAGTGGTAGTGGGGGAGGGGAATGAGCTGAACCGGTGGTAGCACCGCACAAGCCTGAGTGAGAGATGGCTGCAGGGCTGTCAGGGCTCAGTGAAGCACCAGGATCAGTGTCGCTTTCCAGCTGATCGGCGCTTCGGGACTGTCAGGGCTCAGTAGAAGTGCCAGGATCAGCGCCAGGCTCCAGCTGGAGCCCGGCACTGATCCTGCTGCTTCTGCTGAGCCCTGAAGAAGCACCAATCAGCTGGAAAGCAGCACTGATCCTGGCGCTTCTGCTGAGCCCAGAAGAAGCGCTGATCAGCTGGAATGTTGCAGCATCTCCAGGGTCTTGTGATTTACATTCAGATGCTGGGCAACTGATTCGTATTTATGATGGTCATAGTGTCCCAGGGTCATGTGAAGTGACCAAAACCTGCTGCAACCACCCAGCAGATGGGGGGAATAAAAACCAAACACCCCCCACCCCACTGCCAATCCTCAACAGAAATGCTCACAACAATGAAAACCTCAGACAGGAGGAAGAGCGCCGCCGGGTGAGCAGGCAGGTGGCTTGCTCAGCTGTGGCTTGGGGGGCACTTTTTTCAGTGCCATTGTAACTTTGAACAGTCACTAAGCAAACTGTTGTAAATCGAGGACTACCTGTACTTTATCACTTTTTCCCTTTTTTTTGTCATCATGTTTTTAATACCTTGCTAGGCGACTGGTGGTACTCAGATGTTGCCATAACCTAAAAGTGGTACAATGGGTGAAAAGGTTGAAAAGCCCTGCTCTATGCCATCCATCTGGTAAATTCGCAAGATTTGTTTTTCTCACCATGAACATGTATACATAACCCGAACCAGACTGTTGTTTCTCTGTGTCATATAATCTATCTGGGTATATGCATAATTCTGTATTTATTTATTTATTTATTTATTTTTGTCATATTTATGTAGTGTATATCGGAGGTGGTGACCCTTTGAGAGCTGAATGCAACAAAATTTCATTTTAATGTATGCCAATTAGTGTACATTTAAAGTGACAATAAAGTTATTATTCTATTCTATTATTCTTCATCACTGGAGGTTTTCAAAAATAGACAGGACAACCACTTGAGAAGGATTGTGTAAGTTTCCCTACCTTGAGCTGTGGGTGAGAACATCGTTCGACTCCCAAAAGGGTCGCCACCCACAGGTTGAGAACCGCTGCAATAGTCACACTTGATTATGAGTTTACGGAAAATGTAGTTCAACATATAATGCAGATACTAGGTGATGGGAGACTTCTGCAGAGTATTTCTCCTTGTGTTCCTGCAATCTTGTCCCATCACAAAGAAAATAGAAGTCATTGCTTTTGAGTTCAGAAGCATATTAATCCAGCCTGGAAAATACAGGGAAGATGATTTTAAATCAAACCTTTAAAAATCAGGCAAACAAGACCAACTTTGTTCGTGGCACAAATGTTTTTTTTTTCCCCCAGGTTGATTGTGGTTAAATACTACACTTCATTTTTGGTCCGTCCTTATTTTATCCAAGTTGGCTTTGTTTAATCCGTCTTGAGGTTTGCCAGTTCTTCTTGAATCTCATTTTCTTGTCTGATCTTTCTGCCTCTGCCATCTATCAGAAAAAAATCAGTTAGAGCCCTAAATTTGGGCTGCGCAATAATAATATAAAAGGCCTCTGAGAAAGGAAAGTTGCCAAGCACCATCCCAACCGTTCAAAGGAGCAGCTTACACTTTCGATGGTTGCATTTTTCCACAGAAAATAGAAAAAATATATATGCAGCTACCAAGAAAAACATCCGATTTAATATTGCCAGCCTATTTTATGTCTTTTCAAACCAGTAAATTTAATCTAACATAGTTTCTGGGAAAGGGGAAAAAAAGGCAAAAGAGATCCACATATTTATAATCATTTTCAAGTAGGCACAGTACAAAGCTTACTCCAAGCCAGCCATTGTAAGGACTGGCTTCTTCCCATCATAGAAATTGCACTTAAAATCCAGCTGGACTCTTCGCTTGAGAAGTTGCTGATGCTGGAAATGTGTTTATTTCAAGTCATGTGACTTCACATGGAAAATATTGCAGCAATGGGGAGCAATGGGGAGAGATGAATTAGCAGCAGTTGGGAGAGATGAAGCATGGCCTTGTAAAACAAAGCAGCCCCAAAACTCAAATCTCTTTCGACAAAGAAAAGAAATTTGTTAATATAAAGGCAGTGGGGATGGGTGGGTGGAGGGGTAGGTGCGTGGGTGGGTGTTCAACAACCAAGAACAGAAAGAAAAATAGAGAGATAACAGAAAGGAGACCATTTGAAATATTGAGTATCTCTCTATCTTACCCCCATATACATAGGCACATATATCAGTTCACCCTCCAGTTTTGGAAGGTAACCTGGCTCTTTGGATTCTTTCTACAATTGCATTTCTATTATTATTATTTTTTTTGAAGTATGTTAACTCAATGATTTTAATTGTGACTTGGTTCATACAATATTATTATTGCATACTTCTAGGACAGTGGTTCTCAATCTGTGGGTCGGGACCCCATTTGGGGTCAAACGACCATTTCACAGGAGTCACCAAACAACGCAGTCTGCCATTTTTTCCCCCTTTTCCCTAGCTGTGCTACTCCCTTTTATTCTATTGGCTTTTGAAAGCCAATAGAATAGACTCTCTTGAATAGAGTCTAATTTTATTGGCTTTCAAAAGCCAATAGGAAATTGTCCAGGCTGTCCCTGCCCTGCTGAGCTGGCCAAAAGTCCCATTCTGCAAACGGTGCTGCACCAGTTGAGTAGTCCTCGACTTACGACCGGTTGGGGGTCGCAGCATTAAAAAGGTTGAGAACCACTGTTCTAGGAACATCTTTGAGAAGATATTTAAATGAAATTAGTAGCAGCCAAGGCTCAGAAATTCTTCTTGCCTGCTCATCAAAGATGAATAGAACTTTACAGCTAGCAAGGCAAAAAGGAGTGCAATGAAAACTCATGCAGATAATATGGAGGAACTGCTGAGCAATATTGCAGGGTCGGGGGGGGGTGTTTCTTTGTTAATGGGCAGTTTCACTTGCAGGGCAAAACCAGCCCCTTAATGCATGAAGATGGTGGTAACTGGGAAGTTTCAATTGCAAACCATTTTTATCTACTGCCATGCTATACCGGTAGTCCTTGGCTTACACCAGTTCATTTAGTGACTGTTTAGTGAAGATACAATGGCACTGAAAAAAGTAACTTATTATTTTTCACACTTATGACCATTGCAGCATCCCCATGGTCAAGTGATCAAAATTTGGACACTTGACAATTGGTTCATATTTATGACAGTTGCCGTGTCACCTGATCACCTTTTGTGACCTTCTGACAAGCAAAGTCAATGGGAAAGCCAGATTCACTTAACAGCGATGTTACTAATTTAACAACTGCAGTAACAAATGTAGCAAGAAAAGTCGTAAAATGGGGCAAAAGTCACTTCACAAATTTCTCACTTAGCAATATAAATTTGGGTGCCAATTGTGGTTGTAAGTTGAGGACTACCCATATAGGGGCTATATCACTAGAGTCATTTCTGTAGATAAAGAAATGCTGTTTTAAAGCTGCAAATGTCATTTCAGAAATGGCAGCGTAATCACTGCCTAGTGCTCGAGAAGGCAATTTCCAATTTTCATTGGAAGGATTCTTGGCTTGTCCCACCACCCAGATCTCATGATCTCATCCTAGTAACTTGCTACCCTGACAAGGTAAAGATATCTCAAGGCAGAACTGGTGCATGTCTGCACTGAAGGCAACAGCAGTTTAATCCATGGCAAGCACAGAAATGTAAAAGGAATTGCCAATTGTACTCTTTCATTTTGGTAAAGAGAAGAAAGACATGTTTATTTAGGCCTGGATCTGAAGAAAGGTACAAACCTCCTGATGGCCAGTAAGCCCTGACTGTGCTTAGTAATTCATTGCCAAGGATATGATACTGCATTGGTTCTAGATTACAAACCCCAGACTCACAAACATAACTCATAGTAGCTGATGTACAGTTTTTTTGAAAACAAGCAAAAGAGCCTAGAAAGATCACATTGCCTTTTAAAGTGGATGCAGGAAAGATGCAAGATGAAAAGGCAGGTGGTCTAGACCAGGGGTCTCCAACCATGGCAACTTTAAGACTTGTGGACTTCAACTCCCAGAATTCCTCAGCCAGCTTGGATGGCTGAGGAATTCTGGGAGTTGAAGTCTACAAGTCTTAAAGTTGCCAAGATTGGAGACTCCTGGTCTAGAAAACATCATTGTGCAATTGCCCTTTTGAAGGGAAGCCAGGAGAGTAAGCTTCTAATAGATGCCATTTGCTTAGATTCCCATCCAAGAGGATATTGATTTGCCTTCCCTTCCTTCAACCCCCACCCTCACCACTTCTCAGCATCTTTTAAAATGAGGCCATTTTGTTCCCTTCATGGTTCCGATATAGCTGGTAAGGTATCCTTTCAGTGTCTTTGGATGCAGATTAAATAGGCTGCTTCTGGTGCCTTCCCCCAGCTTGTATTTCTCCCAGCATACCCAGAGATAAGCTTTCAAAAGAAAACCGGCAATCTTGGAGCACTTGCACGATTATGGAAAAAATTCTGATACTGATGAGCTGCCATTTCCACATAGCCATTCTAGTCTTCCTAGCATGGCAATATCTCTAAATTATACTAATCATGCCATTTTCCCCTTGTTAAATAAAAAACAATCTCAAAATATATCACAACTAGCATCTGTAGAGAAGAAAATATTAGCATTCATTCTCTAGTGGACCATTATTAATCATTTCCCTACATTTATACCTATCTCCTTTAGGGGTCTTTATCTTCTAGAAAGACTGCCTTGTTCCCATCATTAATAGGGTTCTTTTGAAGATGTATTTCAGGGGAGTCTTGAGGTTCTTGTTCTGAAAGCCATTAGGCATCTATGTAACATCCTAATCCCAACAGAGCTTTTTCTTGGTCCATCTGCACCAGATAAGATTATGCAATGATATTTTGTTTAATAATCCTCTGCTGGTCCCAGAAATTGGGCCAAAACCCTTTCAGACAAACAAGATCTCAGATTTCAGCTGTGGTAGCTCTGTCAAAAGGTTGTTTCTACTTGAATTCTTTGATTTTTCTCTCCTCTCAATAATTCATCAAACTATGAACAGGAGGAATAGATCCTTTGGGGAACCGCCATCATCTAAAAGTACAGTACAAGTAATAGTGTTTGTTTAGACATCTACCACCAATTTTGTTTTCCTCCTCAACATTTTTAACTTCAGATTGACTTTTTCAAAAGGCCTGAGGGCAATTTGGATTAGACATGGTATGGTGAAAATTCCAGTCTGGCAAGCTGATTGAATTCTAGACTAGAACATTGGAGCCCATTGTTACCAATAAATGTTTAAAGAATTCTAAGTTATGAAAACATTGCCTTCAGGCCAACAATCACTGAAGTGCTGATAGTATTATACATATGACAAATCTGAGGATAAAAAGAATAATAATCTATAATTGTGAGATAAACATTTAAATTCCACCAGAAAGGACTGGTACTGATACTCTCATATTTCCTTTGCTAGTGAGCTTTTTGAAGATACAGAGGCATAAAGGCTGGAATGATGGACATATGCTAGCATATTGGCAATATCTTGAATGTTATCCTATGTTTGTCTTTTATATCTATCAATCACAAATGGCTCTTCATGAATCTTAAATAACATGCCATTTCAGAGACTTGATGTAATCCACTGCTTTTCTGTCCCTAAAAACAGCCTTTTCAACCATAGATAGCTCATATGCGCTCTCAAATATTGAAAACATTCTTGTCATAATTCTCAGTCCAGTTCATAAAAAGCCACTTTATGCTTTATTTGTTTCAGTTTCCTATCTGTAAAAGAAAGAGACTCCACAATCAGGTCAATATAGGCTTGAACCTCAGCTGAGGAGACTGTCTCACCATGCTTGAAAGGATGTATGGTATGAAACTTCTCTGGTTGTTAGATATGGGCACTTTTTTTTTGGTACATAGGTCATCTTTTAAGTATGAATGATATGCTCATTTAGAATTTTGTAAAAAATACAAACAGCAGTTATTGGCTTATGCACTTCCATAAATGATTCAATTTGTGGATTCTTGGCTTCAGCCCGTGTCACTGCCTTATATGCATAAGTTACTGAGAAATAAACATTGTCATGAATATTGCACCATGTACATGAAGATTGTGAGGAATCTGCCAAGATTTTTATAGGCTTTCCCAAAATGTAAATTCTTTAACACAGGAGTGGTTTTGAACGCTTGATTCCATGTTTCTTTATGCAATACATTGAAGTACCATTCATTTGAGTTTCCATGATACCAGCTTTGTGGTCAGGTTGGGTGTAACAATTATCAATTAATTAACCATTCCTAGATATCTTAGTACATGTTGATAACTGAAGCCCAGCTGCTATTTTATTTTTTAAATCCAGTTTTATCCTTTTGCTGGATATGACATCGACTAAGAAGTTATGTCATCCGAAATATGCATTTGTCTATATGAGACTGGCCAAACCTTTGCCCTCTAAACTTCCCAAAACTTCAAGTCATACTCTACCCTGGTGGACTCCCAGGTATTACTGTCATCCCATCCATTGAGATGTCAGTACTGTTAGTATATTCATCATCCATGGAAATAATCTTACTACATGTTAGAAGCAAAAGCAATATCAAATAGCCATAACAACCTAAAACAAATTTTACATATAAAAACTGACAATCTAAAAAAAAGGAAATTAAAAGAAAAAAAAATAGAAAGTGAAAAACCCAGGAAAAATAGAAAATAAAGAAAAGCATATACCATAGAAAAAGAAAAGAAACATATAAAGAAATAACTTCCTCCTTCATCACAAGTATAAACAATTTTAGAAACATCACTTTCTTTTAAAATATAAGAAATGATCTCTTCTTCTCATATCCCATCACTTACCTGTAAAAAGATCCTTAAAGCTTGTAGTTCAGTCCTGATTCATTAAGGGTTATCAGAGATAACAATATATCTAGCTTAACCTTCATGAAATAAACCAACTTGATATTCTTTTTATTTTTAATCATCTTGATCTTCCTTATTTAATAAATATGCCAAAAATTCTGTAAACAAGACAAGCATTGGTGATGATTCTTTAGGTTGTTCTTCAATGTATCTTCAATATTCAGTAGATCTTCATTAGATTCAGTAGAGAAATATAGACTTCTCCAACTAATAGTTATCATGATTAAAGATTATGAGAATGATAGTCCAACTGTCTGGAGGGCACCATCTTGAGGAAAATTGGCCTTTTGTTGTTGTTGTTGTTCTGGAACCACAAAGATCTAATTGAAGCATCATGATTGTCGTTATAATATGAATAAGATAAATAATTCATGCAACACTATGATGGGAAGATAACACCTTCTTGGATATCTCACTGCCTTTTGATTCTTTGAAAGAATCAGATGCATTTTTGAAATATATGTGAGTACAACTCATTAGAAATACTGAACAGGTTTTTAATAGGGCAAATACAAGGATAAGCAATAATCTGCATAAAAGGTCAGCAAGGTTTGAATGACTACAATAAAATCCAGATGCAAGTGAAAAGCAAATCAAGGACAAATGCTACTCCTTATTGATGATCACAGGGAAACAAGGGATGTAAAATATAGCAGGGAGCACATTTTTTGTTCTTATACCTCTATCACTCTCTTCCCAGTCACATATGAACAGTAGGAAAGATTACTATGTCACTGCCATGTCAGTCTGTTTCCTCCACTTAACTATGAATACTCTCCTGGAGCATCATTTTGGACAACACAGAATATCACAGATTCAAGTAATTCTTTCTCAGTTCTTGAGGCTGGTTATTGTTATCATGAAAACCTGTGGGCTGATATTATGACATATTGTTTTAAAAAGAAAATCAAAAGAGAGGTTGAATAAGCTTTTGACACAAAATTCAAATTGGTTACTCTGAAATAGTGCTACCTCTTCTAGAATTCCTAGACTAAAAATCTGAATTCTATATCTGAAAGAATTGTTGAGCTTGGCAGAATTTATGTTTTCAATTATATTGGCATAATCTAAACTTTTAAAAACATTGTCTTTTCTAAAAAAAATGGAATAGTATCTATCAATTTCATATAGGATAAATATTCGGCTTGAATTGTCAAAATTCTGAATCAGTCATACCAGCAATTGAGTTTTATTTTCCAGATGAATATAACAGATCACATAGTATGGGCAGATTAAACCCATACAAGTACTAAACTCAGCCTTATCCCCTTAATTTTGTTCCACTTCGACCCAGTATATGGTACTGTGTGTCTCTCACAAGCATTGTTTCTTCAGTGACACCACATATTCCTGCATTAGCCTCTTATTTATAAAAATAGGTAATTTAGTTCTTTTGAGAATGAACATATGAGAATTTTTTGTTTTGTGCAGTTGCTAATGAAAAAGGCAAGTACCAGCCTCAAATCTATGTTTAAAAAAGAAAACCTATAACTCCTAACCTGGGTTTTATGTTTCCTCAACATAAAAGTAGCTAGAAGTAGCTGCCTATACAGCAGGTCAGCAGCCTATATGGCATTGGACATTGTCTACAAAAATCTGGTTTCTTAGTCTCCACTAAGCCAGGACAAAAATATATAAATCTGGATTTTCTTTGATTTGTCTGCAGGGGAAATGTCTATGAAATTAACCAAAACTAAGCAAACAATAGGAGCAAGCACATATTTTTGTTTGTTTGTTTGTTTGTTTTTACTCTTATAGAGGAAAGAATTAGCTCTTTTAAAACATGGCTTATTTTTTCCCCCATCCATCTGGTTGCAGTTAGCATGGAGATATAATTTTCAAAACTGATCACTTATGGGTAGACCATGCAATTAAAGTATTTGAAAAACAAACAGCTCTAAACCACTGATTGTTGAGAGTGTGGCTTTGCACACGATGGCCCATTTTCCATGAAGAAAGCATCAATTTCCAGCCAGGACTGCCTTTTGGGAAGTATATATAAAATAAAAGTCAGATTTTAACAGAAGCCAAGTCTAGGCAGAGAGAAAGATGAAAACACTGATTTGTTGGTGTTATTTTAAATCGATACATTGTACTCTCCCCCCTAATGGATATCAAATAAAACAACAGAGTAAAACTAAGGAACACAAAAATAAAGTCATAGAACAAAATCTGAGAATGGCATTACATTTAAAGAGTAATCAGACATGGAAGTTTCGTTTAAGAGCAATGTGAAAATGAATGGAGGAATGACCAAACTGACTGGAGGCAGATGGATTTCCATAACAGCATATGGCCTTATAGCAGATCAGATCACTTGTATTTTGCATGCAATATTATGAATGATAGTAGCTTCCTTGAATTTCAGAGATCTTTCCTATCCTGATAAATGTAGCAAAAAAGTTGAAAATTGTCCCTGCTTCTTCTTCCTGTCAAACATGTACTCTGTCAGTATTGAGTTATATGCTTCCCTCAAATGATGATAGCCAGCATGTTTATATCCTAGACTTTCTTAGGCAATCTTTCTTTGACCAGCCTCCAAGCAGCTAGCAATTTCATGTCAATATGATGAAGCAGCACACAAAGAATCAATTCCAGGGAATGAAAGAATCAATCACTGAATTATTATTTTAAAGATCCAAACTACATGCTCTAGGGCATGGGTGTCAAACTCGCCACATCACGTGACATGTCATGACGTATCATGACTTTTTTTGCATTGCCAGAGCTGAGGTGGGCACGGCCTACTTATGATGCAACCAGCCTGCAGGCCGGCAGTTTGACATCCCTGCTCTAGGGAAAAACAAAAACAAAAACACAACTCTTCAGATTCAGGAGGAATAAATTCAGCTATAGATGGCATTCCTTCTTATGGAATTGTCACAGTGCTTCTAACCCATTAGAACTGAGGCACGTCAAAGATGTTATCTCTTCCTGAACATAGAACTCCAATGAAGAAACCTGGAATGAAATTAGCATATTCTGTTTTCTTTCTCTGATAGCTTCTTGTTCTTTCCCTAGCTCTGGAAGATGCTCACATTTTTTTTCTTCCTCTTGTATGTGCGTGGGAGAGGGGTAGATGAGAGGGGATTTTGGTTGTTCCAGGATCATTTCTTCCCCACCTCCCCCCAAAGCAAGCACATGCTCTGTTCCTGGTATCTGCTTTTTAGACATGGTTTAAAAATAGTTCCTCTTCTCCAGAAACATGTGGCACAGTTCTAGTTACTGAGAATAGGAGGTTCTGCAATTCTGGTTGCAGAATTGCTGGCACACTTTTTACAGCTAGCAGGGGACAAAAAGTGCAATAAAAGAAAGAGGATTTGATGACTTCACACCTTTCCCTATAGAGCAACTGCTCAAACTAGACAGAAAAGAACCAGACTCAATATACTGGATCTGGCCTTTGGTTTTGATTTGTTTTTGCACAAAGTGGAGGCTAAGGAGAGTTTTATTGTTTTAAGACCTGCAGTCCTTAGATGTGAGGATGGATTGGCTTTTTCTTTCTGACTGAATTGCTTTTTCTTCCCAATAAATGGTTAGAAAGAAATTACGTAGGGGAACTTGGGACCTTGTCTATCTGTCTGTCTGTAAGATAATATTTGGTATAGGGAAAAAGGCAGCCAAAAAAAAAAAAAAGACCTTTGTAAATGGACCAGACAGAGGCTGCAAAAAATAAAAAAATATAAACTTTCTCCAATGCATCACTTTATTAGAGGAGCTGGGCAACAATTCAAAATGCTGCCAGTTGCTCCATTCTTAATTCATCTTCCCTTTCCCACCTAGACCTATGATCCAGAATGGAGCACATACAATCAATCTTGTGTTTCCCAGGGTACATGTATACACAAACACTTATAGATATAACCCAGAGTAGAAACAGAGACTTCTCTCTCTCTCTCTCTCTCTCTCTCTCTCTCTCTCTCTCTCTCTCTCTCTCTCTCTCTCTCTCTCTCCTATCTATCTATCTATCTATCTATCTATCTATCTATCTATCTATCTATCTATCTATCTTTCCATTCTGAGATGACTCACATGGACACTGAGACACACGTGCTTTCATCCTGATTACTTCCTGGAGGAAAAACGTCCAAGAAACAACATATTATTTTGTTCAGATGCCATCTGCAGTCACTACTGATAAAGTGGTTGAAAAGATCTTGCAGCCATGCTTGGCATACTTCCTCTACCGTGTACCTTCTTTCAAATCTAATGAAATATTGGAATTTTGTAAAAAAATCACTTGGAACTATTTTGCAGAAAGATAACTCCCATAATCAGAACAGAACGGAACCAGATTTGGTAAATCAGGGTGAGAGCTGTGGAGAAAAAAAAAAATCTCTTCAAGTTTCTTTACAGTATTTGAAAAGCAGAAGCAATTGGAGAATGGCTCAAAATGTTGTGGCTTGCTGCATCATAACCCTCTTTCTTTCTCCCCTCTAGTCTGTCTAGGCTAGGGAATTCTAGAGTTGAAGTCTACTCCTTTTAAAGTTGTCGAAGTTGAGAAACCACTGATCTAATTTCTCACTCCTTGCAAATTCCCCATATTGTTCACTCTCATTCTCTATTATCTTCCTGCCAAGCTCATTCCCATGCATTTCTATGTACATGTAGGCATTCACACATGTTCTAAAACCTCCATTAGGGGAAATTAAAAATAAAAGTGCAACTTTTATTTTAACTTTTTTTCAACTTTTTTTAAACACTAACTGCTAGTGGACAAGAATGCTACTTTTTTACAGACAGTAAAATATATTGTATTGTACTGATCCTCTTGTCCCTAGGCTTTATATTGCTAGAAGTCTTTTCCAATTTAAGTAGGGTAGGATGAATATTAATTCACTTTAAAAGATCCAGGCCAAAAAATCCCTGCCTGATTGGGTCAGATCCAAGAACAATACAGAGCTCTAGAAGATATATCAAACAGAAGATATTTCAGTAGGGAAAATCCCACTTCTTATGTATTTGCAGTTGCATAGCCAGCTTTCAAATTTCTTGTGGTGAATTCCAAAGCATCTTTAGAATACAGAATTTATTGCAGAGCTATGCTTGAATATCTTCTTTTGGATATGGATAAAGGGTGGAAAAATATCATATAAAGCTAACACAATGAAAGAATATTTGGACAGGCCAAAGGGTTTCCATAAAGTCTGAAACCTATACTGTACTACTGTTTGGAACTTAGATTGACCATAGCCTTGGTGCCAAAATCTGTCAGATAGCTATAGCTTCTACACTGATGCTAGGAGAACATACAGCCAAATCTAGTAGATTGTGTGGCAACAGTGAAGATAATAAAATTTTATTCAGAATGAAGGCACTACTCTGGTTTACCTTTATTTTGAGGTAACTTCATTTGGCCTCTCACTGGCTCTGGGATGATGTTGTTGATATTAAGAGGGGTCATTTTTCAAAGGAAATTTTTTTTTTGCTGAAACTGCAGCCAACTGGGATTACCACAAAGCTTCATGTGTGCATTGCCTAAATGGTTTGGGTGGTGTCATAACTTTTCTCTGCAGCAATCCCTATGGAAAACAAATTCCAAAATTAGCCTTGAGGAAAACTTCCAAAAAGCAGGAACACATTTTGCAGGGGAAGCAAATTACCACATTACCCTACCTCCTTCCATTTTGGCTCAACCCTAGTAACCCAGAGCTAACCGATATTACCTTGGCACTCGGCAAATCTAAACCACAATCTGCCAGAGTGAAGCAATTTAAAGTTTGGTGAATTGAATGCAAGAGTTCATCTTGGGCTTAAAGGAGGCCAACCAAGACATTTTGCCACTTGAGGTAGAATAGAAATGGCATTTGCTTCCTCCATTCAGACTGTACTATGTCCAAGACTGACTTTTTTTTCCTTCTTTTTGGGCCTTTTGAGGGAGAAAATCCCACAAATATCTCCTTTGGAAAGTAGAAACAGAGCTTGTACTTATCTAACCATTTGCTACTTTTTCATGACACTCAAAATCAGCGGCCTCAGGCAATTTCTTCCCTCTGCCTAATAGCAGAGTAGATTCTGGCTTTAGGAGACATGGAGAATTCAATTTTGATAAATACAGATATGAGATTAGCCGGATTTTGTAGACTGCAAGTTGGCAGATTGCTTTTCATTTTTAAATAATGCAACACTTTCTCTTTTTTGGAGAGAAAAATGTACATGTAAAAACCTTTGGAAAGAAACTCCCTATCATTATGAATGCGGAAAGATTTTTTTTTTTTTGAGGTAATCATTTTTTTAAAAAAAAAAATCACATTATTGTGAATGTGAAATAGAATTATATCTGTAAAAAATGATGCATCTGTCTCTCTCTCTCAGTTGAGACTAACAGGACCCTCTCAGAGATGGCCATTTGAGATCTAGACTTGCCACAATAGTATTGAACCATGCCTCTTGCAACGATTAATTGAGAAGATATTAACACAAAGGAGAATTCCTCTGAAAACTAATGCAGTGTAATAGTTAGAATTTAGAATTAGGATTAAGGAGATCCTGGTTCAAAGTCATTCTCAAAAATAAACGCTCACTGGGTGATTTTGGGTAGTCACTGTCAGACTAATTTAGAGGAAATCCAGGTTGGGATCCCTGAGAAAAGGCAGAAAATATCTCATTATAGGAATCATAATATTCTCATCATACAAGCCCTATCCCATTGCTGGGGGCCGCCCCACTTCTAATAACTTTGTTTTTAGTCTGCCATTATTTATTCAGTGGAGATAAACATCACTGCCTGCTGGCTGCCAGCAGTTTTGCAGTTCGAATCTCAGCAACTCAAGGTTGACTCAGCCTTCCAACCTTCCGAGATTGGTAAAATAAGGACCCAGATTGTTGGTGGGGGGAGATGCAATAAACTGAACTCTGTAAACCACTTAGAGAGGGTTGTAAAGCATTGTGAAGCAGTATATAAGTCTAAATGCTGTTGAACTTGAACTTGAACTCTGAGATTCAGAAGAGGCCTGAAAGAGGACAAAGCAAATTTTAAAATGAGGCAGCTTCTGATCACTACCCAACATCAGATGAATCCAGATGGATGAGACAATGAGTTTCTGTGTGAAAGAGAATGTGGAAGATGGTGGCAGCAGCAGAATAAGGGTGCAGACTGCCTATCACATCCCTAAAAGCTTCCTATGACAAAATAACTGTCCTCCGGGCTGCAACTGACTAGTGGGAGGCTTTCCTTGTTATATAATTGTCTGTGAAATTGCAGCCCATACGGTTAAAATATTAAATAGGATAGCATTACACTGCTTAATCCACAGCTGAGACAAAGCACAGATCAGGGGTAATCCACTTGACAAGATAGTGCTGACTGTCTGATGTGGGAGATGTCAATTAGCCTTTAAGTGGAAACACACTTTTGCAAGTTAGTAAAATATGACATCCACTTTTTTAAAAGCTTAGCCTCTCCCCAACCCCCTCCAACCCCTTTCCACTCAACTTTCTTTCACTTCTTGAAAAAGAGTGAAAGCTGAACATCATGACAGACTCACCATTCCTGGACATCATATGGCCAGAAGTGAAGTATGCACCTGCAGTTTTATCTTGGTCTTGAACCCATTGTTCAATGCTAATTAGGTATCTATTTCTTTGCTAAATATATTGAATCATACGGATGGATTTCAGGAAACGTCTCCTAGTCCCTGATATTGACCATGTTTGCACAAAGCACTCAGCCATATTGTGGTTTGGCTTAACATGTCATCCAAACCAGGGGAAAGGGTCACTTTGTGGTTAGGTGAAAGGTCCATTAATCTCAATAACCAATAATGGTAGCTCTTATTTAAGCAATGCTGACTATGGCTTAGCATGTCTTTTTGTTAGCTTATAGTTAAACAGTGATTTGTACCCAGAAAAAAATGATGTGCAGAATGGCTGTGAAGTAAAGCTACCTCTGCAATATCTCCATTGCTCTACTTTTATTTTTCATTTACTAGGGATGGGAGAAAGTTTTTTGACGTCTGAATGCAAGCTTACTTAAGTGCACCCTTTTGAATTGATATTCAAATCTAAAGGTAGTTATTGAAAAAATATGAATTCTGCAGTGTAGATCAATAGTTAAAAGTGTGTCAGAAAAATGGATTAAAATTGCATGTATTTGTAAGTATAACATACAAAGACTTTTAATAACATAAGGGAATGCTATTAACAAACCCATTCATATGTATTTGAAGAAAAGGACAGTGAAATACAGGTAGAATATAGTTTGAAACTTTCCAAGTTTCTCAAGCTTTTTACATTGAATTTGAGATCTTTGCTGTTCTATTTCTTGCTGGGTTCAGCATTGTAGAGGTGGGAGTAGTAGCACAGGTACTTCTTTACTGAAGACAAAACAGAACTCAAACAAGATGGCTCTGCCCCTATTTATACATTCTCCCGCTCAAATGCATACTAGTCAGCCCTTGCAGAGAGCAAGTCTGGCCCAGCAGGCCACATGGTCTGCTAATGGTTTCAGTGCAGCTCCCTGCACCTATTACCAGTTTAAGCTCAGTACATTACATTTACAAAAATCATAATTAGAAGAAATGAATGCAATATATTCGTGAAACTAGCAGGAAAAACAAATAGTTTTCTATTCTGAAAATAAGAACTGAAGATTCTCTCTCTCTCTCTCTCTCTCTCTCTCTCTCTCTCTCTCTCTCTCATACACACACACACACACACACACACACACAGAGAGAGAGAGAGAGACCTCATAACCATTAAGGCATTCAACCAGTACTAGTGTGCTGCTAACTGTTTAACAATCAGCTCTGCCAGCTCTATTGCTACTGCTATAACCCCCTGCTAGCTGCCAAACAGCTGATCAGCACAGTAGGCATCATGACTCAGCTTCGTTCTCAATCAGTTTGCAAAATTCAAGAAAACTTAATACTTGGCTGTTGTGAGCTTGCTCCAGCACACCACTGCTTTCATTCTAATCAAGTTAACCAAGCCTTTCTTCTGTTGTTAGAAAAGTTGTTGAAGGATACTGTGAATAATCACATTAAGGATATCTCACAAATCAGGATAATAATAATTGATTATGTCTGCATGGGCAAAAATGTTTTTGACATGAGAATACAAGCAGTGGACAAAAAAGAAAAGAACCAGGAGAATAATTAAACACAAGAAATATAATTATATTGTTTTTATTACATCATGTAAATGTGTTTGTTAAATGATATCAAATATCATTAAATGATATTTGTTTTATTTTGGCCCTGTTACTATTGTTCCTACTAATTAGGAGTAGGACTAATGCAGCCCTCTTTCCACAAAGAGTGCACCTCTGTTGCAGGACTTTTATCCTCCTTCATTTTTACATTGCCTGGACCATTAATGGCCTTCCCTGCCTGATAATTTACCTTGTCTCACTCAAAAGTAGGTTGTCCATTTTGCTGTCCAGGCCTTTGTGTCCTTTCTTTTTGATGTGTTCCTCTTATAAATCAATCTTTTGTCCAATGACAGCAACACAACTATTAACAGCTATTTTCCTTTTAGTTGCTGTGGGAAGCACAATTCCTGATACCACTCGTCTAAAGGAGAAATAGCAGAAGATTGGATCCATTTCACAGGTAACTGCCAAGCTTCCTACAGTAGATTTAGAGATTTAGATAAATAAATAGATCCCATCAGCCTCCATTTAACAGAAAGTTACACCTGACCGGTTCCCTGTTTCTATTTTAACCAAATCTTCTCAACAGCTGCAGGCTTTTCTGTTTTAAACCAACAACTCCCTTTCCATGTTTATGTAGCTACATCCCTTTTTTTTCAATGGGAAATATTTTTTCCTGTGAGGATAAGTAGGTGCTTGAAAAATGGTCTTCAGCAAGCAGAAGTATCTGAAATATAGCTATTGTTCCCACTGACTCTGTCCAAATCAAATAGTTGATTCTTCTGGCATGCTTTACTCGCCCTTCAGTTTTCTTGGACAAGTCTGAGGACTGGAATCTTACATAATCAGCCAGAGGTAGACCCCCATAAGTACAAGACTAAGCCCCACACATAGTATGTCTAGCTGCTTTCCTTTTTCTCCCGTTTTAAATCTATCCAGAGAGGATAATTTCTTGGAAATTCCCCAAATGCAGTTAATAACAATGCTTTAATATGGGACAAAGAGCAACACTTATCAGTATATCTCTTTCCTCTATACCAGGGATCTTCAAACTTTGCCCTTTTATGACTTGTGGACTTCAACTCCCAGAATTCCTCAGCCAAAATCATAGACTAATTTGAACTGAAAATAATAAATGATGTCAAGAGTTAAACTACAGCTAGTCCTTGACTTACAACCACAATTGAGCCCAAATTTTCTGTTGCTAAGTGAGACATTTGTTAAGTGAGTTTTGCCTCATTTTATGACATTTCTTGCCACAGTTGTTAAGTGAAATACTGCCGTTGTTAAGTTAATAACACAGTTGATAAGTAAATCTGGCTTCCCCATTGACTTTGCTTGTGAGAAGATCAAAAAAGGTTATCACATGACTCGGGGATACGGCAACCATCATAAATATGAGTCAGTTGCCAAGCATCTGAATTTTGATCA